AACTTTAAAAATTGAGGAAAATGGAACCAGTCACTTTTTAATCAATTTTGATATATTCATTAATCTCTGAAATCTTTTTTTAAATAATATACACAGATATATACACTCATCTACACTGTAATTGAAGAAGCTTTATAAACCTGAGGCCATTTTTTCTTTAGATTTCTGTTCCACAGAGCTGGTATGTAAAATCCAGCTAGTACACAAAAATTTGGTGGTAACTATGTACACTAAGCTACTGAGACTTTATTTTTTATGATAAAAAAATTAATGTTCTTTAACCATTATTAAACCAAAAAATAAAAATGGGCCAGGTGCGGTGGCTCACACCTTTAATCCTAGCACTCTGGAGGCTGAGGCAGGAGGACAGCTTGAGCTTAGGAGGTCTAGACCAGCAAGAGCAAGACTGGTCTCTGCTAAAAATAGAACAAAAAAATAGCCAAGTGTGGTGGTGTGCGCCTGTAGTCCCAGCTACTTGGGAGGGTGAGCGAGGGGGATCACTCGAGCCTAGGAGTCTGAGGTTGCATGAGCTATGATGATACCACTGCACTCTAGCGGAGGCAACAAAGCAAGACTCTGTCTCAAAAATAAATAAATACAAATAAATAAAAATGAACATTTATTCTCAGGAACAATAATCTTTAAATGGTATTTAAATTTTAATTGTATCTGTAAATAAATCACATTATTTAAATTTTTAGTGTTTTCTAGGATTAATGTGTATACACATGCAGGCATGTGCATTTGTGTGTGGTTAGGTGGAATGGTTTCTTCTTACTCTGTATTCTTATCTGATATCTCTTAGAAAATGTACTGTAGCTATTACTGCTACTACTACTTCTATTATTATTAATATAATTTATTAAGAGCTTACTACATGTCAAGTTCATAGTACTTCTTAAGTCCTATCATGAGGTATGTTCTATTACTCACTTTACAGATGAGGAAACTGAGCCATAAAGAGGTAAAGAAACTTGCAGTAAGGCTACTTAGCTAATAGGTGGGGTGGCAGAGCTGGGATCTGAACCCTGTTTATTTAGCTCCAGGATCAAAGTTCTTAATCACCACATGACATCAACTACTATGAATAAAAGCACAATAAAAGATGGCAAGCATCTAAATTACTTATAAGATTCTAGGTTGCATAAGCACTTTAAAACACTACAGATCATATTAATAGAATCTGAAATGATTTTTAGAATTACTTAGGAAAAATAAACAAGCAAAAAAGTAAAACTACATTCTTTAAAGTTGCTTTAAAGCGTGTATACAGAAAATCAGGCATATAAGGGTGGGGACAGTTGCAAAAGTATATATTTCAGGAGAAAAATTTTGAAGCTAAGGGTTGGAAGGCAAAGATTTTAGCCTTGGTGCAATCTAATCTAATCTAATCAATAGCATAAATTCAGGAAAATAACTTAAATCTTCTAGGTATGATACCTTTTCTGATTTTCTGAATAGGACTGAAAATAACCAAGAACATAGAAAAAGACAGAAATCATCAATTAAAACCAATATGACAAAGACAGCAGTGTTATAAATGGTTGAGTAGGAATGGATGGTTTCTAAATGTCTCCACTATACTTGTAAATGCACTGTTCCCTGGTGAGTGGCAAGTGACTGATGGGGGACTGTCATCCTACCCTTTACTCCCTACCCCAGCAGCTAGTACTGCCCAAAGCATTGCTTGTACTTTTTTCCTTCTCCTCCACTTAACATGGCTTTAATAATTCCTTTCTTCTATCATTTAAGTAATTTCCAAGGTAAAGAACTCACTTATAATTCTTCATATAATGAACTATATTCCTGAAATCGATCATGTTGTAATTTGGTATAAAATTATTTTATAAGTCATATATATATATATAATAGAAGACAGTATGATTTTTGAGTATATTATCTGATGTATGGTGGAATTAAGTTTCCATGTAACTATTGCTCATTATTCAGATTCTCCAAATAAATTTCAAATTATTGGAAACTGGATATATACACATAGCTACAGATATTCTAAATTAGATATTACATTTAAATATACATTAAATACTAGATTCAGAATGACGTGCTGCAAAGACAAAATCTCTATGTTACACAAATAGAAACTAGTTGCTCATTGGCATTTTAATTCACAAAGGAAATTTTACTTTGAGGGTAAGTCAGCTCAGTCTTTCTGTATGAAAATTTAGGTCTCAACCTATGGTTACTATAGAGGCAGCCCACCTGCTTCCTATCCTGTTATGAGCTGTAGCTCAAAGCCTAGTTAACAAACTGTCCTCACTGCAGCTTAAGTACCCTCTCAAGTCCTCAGAGTAAATCTTAGGGAGCTGAACACCAGCATCCCCCAACATCAAGGGGTGTCTATTATACCATGAGCTCCTCCCTTTAGCAGCTGGAGGTATGTGGGAGCCAGGGCAGGGTGGACACATTATTGACATCCACAGTCTGCAAGTATATCCCATTTTAAAGAGAGTTTTTAATTTTAAAGGCAGATTTATGTATTATAATATATATCATGAAACTGTTAATGATATCAATAGAGTAGGTATATTCAGTCCGGTCGACTGGGCAAATTCTTACTGCTGAAGGTAATGGAGCAGACTTTTTTAGGTGAGGCCTTCCTCACAGTGGAAGGCCTTCCTCAGGATAGGCCTTCCTCACAGGCCTATCCTGACAGTGATAAAACCTCAGGTGCCCAGTGGGGTGGGGTTCTTTACCATTTGCTGTTGATTTTGTTTGACTGCTCTACTAGTGGCTAAATGAGCCTTCTAGGTCATGACTTATCTGTTTTATTTTCCAGATCTATTTAAATTAAGCATTTTATAATTGTATCATTAGTTTTTAAAAGCACATTGGTTATATGTTTATTAGGTAAAAATTAGCTTAAGTTATATCTGACCTATATTAAAGTACCTCATTTTTTTTTCAGACATGGTCTTGTTCTGTTGCCTAGGCTGGAGTGCAGTGGTGCAATTACAGCTCATAGCAACCTTGAACTCCTAGGCTCAAGAAATCCTTCTGCCTCAGCCTCTTGAGTAGCTGGGGACTACAGGTGTGTGCCACCATGCCCCACTAATTTTTCAATTTTTTTGTAGAGACAGGGTCTTGCTATGTTGCCCAAGCTGTTTTCAAACTTTTGGCCTCAAGTGATCCTCTTGCCTTGACCTCCCAAAGTGCTGGGCTTACAGGTGTGAGCCACCATGCATGGCCTGAAGTACAGTCACTACAGCCTTTGACTATAATAGCAATAATATTAATACATGAGTACTAGGTCAGACACACAAGGAAAAAAATATATATATATACTCATACATATATATGCATATTAAATAATGTCATCAACCAAGATGGTTCTCAAGTGATCTGTCCAATATAGTTACAAAACAAAAAATTTGAAGAATGAAGTAGCTACCACTTCCTTTTGAGGAAATAATGCAGACTTTATGACTAGGAGGTTTTCCTCTTTTTCTTTTAGATATATTTTCCTTTATGTAATTTTTATTCATTACTTTTAGTTACCATTTTAGGTTACTTCTCAAAAATTATTTCCCTTTGCTAACCTTTAATTCCTTCTAGATTATTATTAGGCACTGCCTCCTTTTTCCTCTCCACTCTATTGCCTCAATCTATTAGTCATTATTTGGCTCTTATCTATGGATTTGATATTTTTAAGCCTTCATTATACGCTGGTTCTTTCAATTTCAGTTGATTTTTAAATTCTTCCAATCATCTCATATTTTCCTAATTCATAATTTTTCTTATTCTTCTTCCTTTTGGCCCATCATTTAAAATAACTTTGCCTAATGTGTAAAAGATATTTAATTTCATTCTTTCTTATACATTAATATAAGGATACACAGCTTTAATCAGCAGCATTAAGATCATGTTCTTATAATATACAAGACAAATTTTAAATATTAAACAAAAGTGAAAATTGTCACTACTATAAAAAGCTTCTGAAGACATTGGTAAAGCATGTTCTTGCTGTCACATTGAGAATCTATATAATTATAATAACTAATAAGAATAAAGAATGGAAAGAAAGCATTTTCTTTAAACACAAGTAAAAAAGGTGATGATATATCTTAGAAGAAATCACTATTTCTATGAACAAATAATACAGTAAAATCTACTCTTAGGTAAAAATGTATACTATGTTATATTTATTATTTATTTACTCATTTATTTATGTATCATATCATATATATTGTGCATTAATATGTTAAAATAAAAGTGAATATTAAAAAAAGAGAAAATTTTACTATTCCTCAGCTATATAAATCAAGGCTTACTTTCCAAATATCAAACCAGTTGCTTATAAACAAGGAGGACTTGAGAAACTTCTAGTAACATAAAAATTTATGTTTAAAGGGCCACAAGATGAGCAATTATTTAAAACATAAACACACACACACACACACACACACACACACACACACACACACACACCCTTTCTTTAGGTTGCTAAAATATCAAGTTTTTAGTTCCTCATTAAAAACAAAACAAAACCCTGATTATAAGCTTTCAGATCATTTGAAGATGTGAAAGACTGTCTGCATTTCAGCCCAGTTCAAAGCCAGTGAAGAAATCATTTCTTCTTCTTCCAACTCAAAGTATGTTTAGGAAAGGGACATCAGATAGAAGTGGTAATGCCAATCTAACCAGTTTTAAAATACAAAGTGCTTCTAGCAATATCTGGATACATATAATTTGACAAAAACATTTTATAAACCTAAGCTTTGAAAAATAGAAAATAAAAGCCCCAACAAAAAAGCTTAATTTGTAATTGAAAAAATAATATTTTGTAGGGGAAAAAAGCGTCCTTCCAAAAAGAGACAAAAATGACTTTTATTTCCCAAGAGAATTATGCCACTTTTATACAACAAAATTACAGTCACCACAAATTGCTTTCAACAATTCCATTGCTTCTTCATTTGACCACTTGAAAATCAAAATTTTTTCAGATTATAAATATAACTTTTTATAACTCTGTTATTACGTACTGTGAATGGGGAAAGCGGGCCAATCCTGCGGCCATAGCGTCGCACGGCCTCTCTGATGTGGCAGGGCTGGATGGCATCGCCGTGAGCCTCAACACCACAGGCCGCAGTGCTCTGTGACAGAAAAACACATAAATTGTTACTAAATCAAAAACACACAACAGAACTACAGTGTATAAAATATGAAAATAAACCTTTATAAAATGGACCATTTTTTCCCTTAGGATGCACATCACTGCTGCCATATACTACATCCAAAAAAAAGTTCCATTAACAAATCAAAGATGACTTTTACATGACCCCTTCCTAGCAGACCTACCAAATGTGATTTTTATGCCCACAATATTTCACCTAAGCCTGCATGTCAAGATACAGGAGAATACAGCCACTTACGTGCTTATAAAAAGTGTCATGGGAGCTTGTTGAAAGAACCACAGGAAGTTATTTTTAAAAAAAAAATTTTAACATTTATTATTATAAATGCTTCTTGGGCATATTTTTGAAATAACTTAAGGGTCATCAACTTAAAATAAAAAATGTAAAATTGCTATATATTTATTTATCATAGTGGAAAAATCTTAAAAGATCATTTCAACTTGGTTCCTAATTTTCTAGATGTCTTTAGGACAAAACAAACAAAACTTTCTATTTTAATTTGTAAAATGCAGGTTTGAAAGCACAAAAAGACATAAGAAAGATTATTTGAAATGAAAGCATGAATGCTACCTTAAAAATGACAGATGTGTGTGTATGCATATATGTATGTAACATGATTTTTCAAAAATAATTAAAATGCCTCAATGGTTCATTTATAACCCTTGACTTCCCAACTACCTTGGGTCCAGATCTCAATCCTATTGTTACCAGCTCTGTCAAGTTTCATAATATCTAGGCCTGTTTCCTCACCTGTAAATTGGTATAACAATTACAACTGGTTTATAGGATTGTTGTGAAAATTAAATGAGTTGCAATATATAAACCACTTAGTGCCCAATACATGTTACCTCTTAATATTATCAGGTTATTATTTAAATAAAGTATTAAAAATGGAACCTCCATGTTCTTGAAATGGTAAGCTAATTTACTACAAAGCACAGTAGGTATCAGATGTCAGGTCATCACCCTTAAAGAATCAAGATAAAGAAATATTCAACTTGAGTATTACTATAACTATCGTTTAGAAGTCATTTGTAGCCTATAATTAATATTATTTGTTTTTCTGATAATTACTACAATTTTTACTCTCATAATTCTTTGTAAGGAATATAACTCTATGAATAGCATCCTCTACTGATAGCAATTTGACAAAATCATATCAAAATGAAAAAGTACAACCTCAACTCAGTAGTTTCACCTGTAAAAATTCATCCTACAAATATATTACATAGATACAAAATAATACATACACACAAAGGTATTTATTACAGCACTAATTGGATTGATGAACTAAGAGTTCGTCAGTGAAGGACTGGTTAATATATTATGATATATCCATCCAAGAAATGAAACCACAGGAACCACTGGAAAGAACGAAGCAGTTCCCTACAGACCCTGTGGAACTCTCTCTACAATATATTTTGTGAAAAAAAATACAAGGTATCCAACTGGGTGGTATATGTTACCACTTGTTGAAAAAAAGGCAGACCGAACATTATAGGGTACACCAAAAATCAGTTACCAGTGCTTATCTTTTGGTGGGTATATGGGTGGCAGGAGGACAGTGCTTAGAGGGAGAATTATTATTCATTGTTTATCCTTCTCTACTTTTAAAATATACTTTTTAAAGCACCTGTATGCTTTTCTTATTACTAACTAGTAAAATAATTTAAAAGTGTCCACAAACCAGTGTCTGCTAATTATCCAAGTTGAACCTGAAATATGACCCAAAATATAAAACAATATATATATCTTGACTATTTTTTATTATTTTAACAAGATTTGAAATAAGTCAAATAAAACTTTACTTTAGGTATATTTCTCAATTTCATTCCAACAATACTCTAAATAATATATCTTCATTACATATAATAACATGGATTAAGTTATTTTAATCCTCACTTGGCACTGATATAAAAGTAGACAGATTTCTTTGAGTGCTTTATCAATTCTCATTACAAATTCTTTGTTTCAGTTGTAATATATTAGAATAAATGCAATTGGCAGGTCCCCAGATGTGAGTAAAGACTCTTCTGTGAGTCAATTCTGCTCCACAATATGAATATGACCAATATATGCTCATTCGCTTGCCAGTATAACAGGTATTTGTGAAGTAGGTTGAGGGCACGCTATACTTTGGTGAAAATGCATGCAAATACTTAGCTGGATTTGGAATCTAAATAGAGTAAGTCTTCCAGAAGAAACTCAACTGGAAATACAGACAGAGATATATCAAGAGGGGTCACTAACCTGTATACTAAGTGGAGTAAGAAGTTCCTGTGTGTTCCTCTATGGCATCTCCTAAATTTACTCCTTCTTCTTTGCAAACTGTATTTATTTTTGATTCCTTTTCTCTATGGCCAATATAAATAATATCTTTCCTCTACATTCCCAAATAAATTTGGTTTTGGTATGGAACATTTTGGTCAAAATCTCTCAGAATCTCTGCCATGGCAATCAAATAGGATTTGGGAACACTGAACCAGGAGCCTGCTATAGTAAATAAATCTTCATGTTCTTTCAAAATTCACATATTGAAATCCTAACCCATAAGGTGATGGTATTAGGATGTGGGGGCCTTTGGAGAGGTGATTAAGTCATGAGGGTGGAGCTCTCATGAGTGGTATTAGTGCCCTAATAAAAGAGCTCAGAGAAAGACCCCTCAACCCTTTCACCATGCAAGGCCAGAGTGAAAAGATGACTATGAACCAGGGAGGGGGTCTTCACCAGATACTGAATTTGCCAGTACCTTGATCTTCAACTTCCCAGCCTCCAGAACTGTGAGAAATACATTCCTATTGTTTATAAGCCATCAAGTTTATAGTGTTTTGTTACAGCAGTTCAAATAGACTAAGACAGAAGCATACCAGAAACTACTTTGTGACTGGTATTTGTAAGATATGGAGACAAGACAGCCTGTTCAAATCACGCTATTTTTGCCAAAAGGGTGATGTTAACTTATATAAAAATAAAAATACTCTATTTAATTAACAATGTCATTAGATTTTCCATTTTGCCAATTTCAGGTTCATCTGCTACAATTTAGCAACTGCTAACATTAGCATAATGAAGTTACCAAATACACTTTTACATTTTCTTGATTTGCCCATTGAGTTCTTTGGAAGGCAGCCTTTAAATCTGAAATGGTATATTCCTAGTATTATTTTCACCTCAACAAATATCTTCACATGCCCTTCATCTGTCCACATCCAGTCCTTTACCTAGGTGCTCATAATCTGTTCAAATTAAAATTTTATCTCAAGTTTAGAATTTTGAATTAAGCAATGACTCTAGAATTTAAATAATATTCTTCAAAATTCTTTTGGAACAATTAGCATTAAATTTAAATGTTTATTCTCTGATATTAAGAATATTGTATTTGCTATAATCACATATGATGAGTGTTAGATTTATATATGTATTCATCCATCTTTCCCATCCTGATTATACCCACATTTCAGGATATTCTTTAAATTTTCAAAAACTAAACCTACATATTTGACAAAATCCTGAGTACTGCTCTCTGTATAAGGTTTGCAGAAATCTCTGGGGGGCCAAATTCTATATTTCCTTAAATAAAGTGTTAGCTGTTTGGTAAAGTTCTTATCTGTATGTCAGGTCCTATTCCTCTTGACTGCATTCATATTCCATTCTTGTATTCTTCCATTTCCTCTTTATTTATGTCTTTTCAGCCAGAAATTGATGCTGGGTACTGGAAGTTGAAGTATCATATGGAATTCTACACATTTTCTGGATTTGACTATTGCCTCCCTGCTTGTCTTTGCTGGTTTATACAGAACAGAATCTCTTAGCAGTTTGAACTCTCAACTGTGGTCAAGGAAGTTATATTAAAACTTGCGTTGCCCTTGGATCTCTTACAAATATTAGTACCTGTTCTCTTTTCTTCCCAGCTGAAAACTTCTTGGCAAGGTAAAGTGTCCCATCTGTCTCAGCCTTCTCCTTTACCAGAGTCAATATTTAAGAAGGACCTAGAATCTCAGGTCTGCCTTCTTATTCTTTCCACATCTATAATATTAGGTGGACTAGATTTTTTGCTAAAATTGAAGTCTTAGGAGTAATGCGTATCTCAGACTAGAGCAAATGAAAAGTTAGTACTACTATTACTATTATAATATTCCTGTCACTCACTGACCATAAGGCTGATATATAAGCTGTGCAAGGAAGTATCCTCTTTTGCCTTATTATTGTATTTTTAGTCTTTCCAGAGCCTCACCCTTACAGAAAATTTCTTTTCAGATGAAGGCAGGCCATTCATTGGCCAAAGGTTTTAGTATATACTATACCTATTTTTTTTTTCATTTCAAAGCTTAATTGAGGTGGTAATTAATTGTTAAAATTGTAGTTCTCTATAACTAGGAAAAGCTTCTCTTCAAGGAAATTAAAACTAGAAGAGTTATTTAAGGAGAGGACAATAGAGAATCACTATACTCAAGGATGTATACATTATTAAGTTTGGATGGGACGTAAGAAATCATCCACTCTAAACTATTGCAACTCCTACTTATTCTAGAGATGAGAGAGTGAAGATAAGAGATATGCTCAAGGTTATAACAACAGTATTACAGCTATGGCTATACATCAAATCTCTTGGCTTCTAGTAGACATAGCTGGTATGTATTAAGTAGTAGAAACTTTATTGTTTTATGTAGAATGTATTGTACCATGATACCACCATAGATTAAGTTTTCAGTGAGTAAAACATCAAAATATATTGAGTATGAATACAGAAAGATGTGCATGAATAAGCAGAAAAATAATTAATGTCTTTGAAGTGGGGCATTATTAATTTTGATGTCACTAATTCCAAATTTAGGAGAAATCAGACATGGACTGGGCTAATACTTACTCAGGAAACTTTTGCTGTAAAATAAATTTAATGGTTTTCAACAAGATCAGGAGAAAAATGTTTAAATGTTCAAGAATTTCCAAAAATTTAT